AACCGATCATACAATTATTGCGAATTATCTTTCTACTCATTAATCCGTTAGTAGCATTGTAATTTTCGTTGTCGATGCCGCACTCCTACTACCTGGTTAAAAGCGCATATTTTCTTCCACCTACGGTCAACCTGCCCCACGTTTTAAAAGGCTAGGGACCTCGGCAAACGCAGCCACAAAAGTCAAGGTCACCTGGCCTGCTTAAAACGAGCATTGACATCATTGTTGTCTAGGCCGCATATTCCAAACTATCCAGCGGGCACTAGAAATGGCATGCTACTTAGAGGGCTGTATTGAATGCGGCCTGAAGTCTTTCCTTACTGTTCACGTGTAGTGGCCTTCTGTGCTCATCCACTGCATTCTCGCAGCGAAATCGCCTCGCTTGAGGTCATTTGGCAATGGCAAACCTTCCCTTGTTTATAAAAATTGGATCTCGATAACTCACGAGCACTCTGTGAGCTTAAATGCAAGAAAACTGAGCAGGTCAGTAATTGAAACCAAAGGCTTAATGCCGCTTTCATCAACGTTAAGATGACCGAGTGAGAACAGCTAAAAAGATTAGTGCATGTTTTTTTAATATCTGGTGCACTTCAATTACTCTCGTGGTTCCTCAACTCCCTCCTCTTTTTGCAGATGGAAGCAGAAGACCCGATTTCGGTCCTGATTTGAACGTTGGTGAGAGACCTGGTGAAAGAGAACGGATAACGCCACCTCCATCGATAGAGCCACCAATCGTGCTTCAGCCGGACGAGGCGACCTCTGCCAGGCCAACTGAGCCCGAACCACCCATTGTGGTTCCACCGGGCGTTTGGGTGCCAGGCAAAGGGAAACAGCCCGGACAGCTGCCTGAATCTCACCTCTTCCGGCCGGTCTATGACCGGGACCGTAGTGTCACACCGCCACCACGAACGACCAGTGCAGCGAACTCTGTGCATTGGTACTCTGTGACAATGAGTCTCCTTTTGATGTTCCTCTCTACGTGCAGGCTTATTGGCAGTATCGTCCTCTAGAGAGATTTCGATGGTTGGCTGTGTCTCCTTGCTGCATCCCGTCATAATACCCTCTTATTCGATCTTAGCCTCGCCTCCGGTTTAATGATTCCGGTCATGTAAATACCGTTCCACATTCACCACGCACCTACTCCCTCATACATATATACATATATGACTTGTGCACTCATG